TTTTGTTTTGTTTTGTGTTTTTTGTTTTTTTATGCAGGGCTTTTCCAAAACTGGATGCTGGATATGGAACAAAAATATTCTCTTACTTTTGTTTTGAGATGCTCAGATTTGTTTGGAACTTCATAAGCACGTGGATCATTTTCTCTGCAACTGCTTTCAGCTCCAACAGTGTCCATAAGGCTGCTTCCACACGTCTGTGTATTATAGCCACTGTCCATCTTGAAACAAAAGCTAAATATCAGAACGCTATGTACTTTATTTCAAATAAAGCTCACTTATTTCTTCTACATTATTTAATATATTTTACATTTGAATAGCACATATAGTTAATCTGAATGTGTCAGTGATGAGGCAACTTAACTCACCACTGAAATACAACCTGAAATGCTACATGACAGCTGTTTATCAATATACCGTAACAGTCCTAAAAGGTTTAACCTCCAGCTCAAACTTCAACAAACGCATTGGAAGTACACCAGAGTTACAATAAAATCCCACTGAGCTGTGACCATTAATAGCAGAAGTATCAGCATCTTCAGATGAAAAGTGCCCCCATACCACACTGGATTAGACTGAATCAATACCATCTAGCTGAATTACTATCTCCCCCACCTCTAGCAAACTTGCTAAAGGTTGAACCCAGCTAATTTGGCTAGACATTAAAGACTGCATTTTTTACAAAATAAAACAGTGTAGGCTTAACAATAAAACGGAAAAATCTATTCATGAATTGTAAAGCAAAAGAAGGCTGACTGGTAACATGTCCTTTCCAATTACTAATGAATCTGCTGCAACAAGAGCCAATGCAATAAGAGACAGAATGCTGGTTTTGGATTAACCTATATTTATCAGTTAGCAAAAAAAAAAAAAAAAAAAATGGTCTCTGAAGTTGTTGCATTTCTGGTCACAAGGAAAGAAAAAGAAATAGAGTCTTATATTTCAACATTCGGTCCCATTCAATAAGAGATGACAGCTTCAGAATAGGAGCCAAACATGCATGAACGCAAATAGATAATTTGGGTTATAACAAAACCAGAAGAATTTTACCTGAATACTACTGCTGTCACAAGGAATTGCACTGCTTTCTGCAAGAGGTGACATGAACATGTGAGAACTTTCAATACTGAAGGTAATTCCTGTCATGAAGCTTGTCATTGGCATGTTGCTATTACCAACCGTTTCCTTTACCCAAGCGTTCTCATCTGACACCTCAATTGGATCGACCATATCTACAGTATTATTTTCCTTTGACCCTTCTATCTCCTGCAACAATGACAGTCCCTGCTCACAAGCTTCAGAGAGATCTGGTGCAATGGATACAGTTGCCACAACCAAATGCGTGCCATGGGCAAAAGTATCACCATCTTCCTGTCGTAGATTCATTGAATTTTCCATTTTTGGAAACAGGCCTTCTGCTGGTGGGGCATTTTCCTTATTATCTTCCTCTTGATTGTGATTTTCAAGTGGAATTGGTATCCTAATGAGGGAGGTCTGATATTGTGCAGTCCCTTTGCATGCTCCAAGTTTCACAGAAGAGCAATTTTTAATTGGAGAACAGCCATCTATATAAGGACTCCTAGTATTGGGAGATGTCCTCATGTTTGATTTTGATGAAGAAGGAACATCAGGAGAACGAAACATAAATTTCCTTTGTTCTGTCCGTGATAGAAATAAAAATAAACCAATCTATTAAATATTATATAGAAGAAAACCTGACATTTTCTTAACTATAAATGTGACAGCTGAACTAGATGGTACACAAGGAAAGCATTATATTCAAACAATGCTATCCCCAAAAGAAATCAATATTCCTTTTGAAAGAAAGATTCTCAAAAGTTTTACTTACCACACATTATTATTAACAAAGGTGGTTAAGCCATTAGTCTGAAATTAGGTAGAAAGTAGGATTGGGTGGCTCATTAGAGGCTAACAGGTTCAGAGAAACATGGGCTTTCATATGCAGCAATTAACTTCAGCAGGGACAGACATTACACATAAACTGGTTTAAGTAATCAGAAACTGCCTTAAACCTGTAAGAGAACATAAGTTCAGTGTACATAAACCAGTTTCAAAATAGCTGAAACTGGTTTGAGATAAACCTGATTGAACGTAGTATCAGAGTTAACTGATTTGGGTCATACCAGTTTATGCAATGTCTGTCCCAGACCCCTTCCTGGTTTAAGTTAAACCAGAGTCCCCTGGCATCCCAGATGCTTTGCAGCCCTGGGCAAGGCTAGGCTGTGCTCTCTGCTCCAGAGAACAGGCTGGCTCCACCCCTCTTCTCCCTAGCCAGAGCTCTGCCTGGCTTCCCTCACTGCTCAAGCAGGGATTCCCCACCTTCCAGCTCCCACAGCATGGACCCCAGCCCATGGCCCCTAGGCATGTGGTATGCTAGCCTATGCTGAGAGGGGGGTGTGTGTGTGTGTGGGGGTGTGTGGGGGTGTGTGTGTGTGTGTGTGTGTCCCCACTTTAACTGGGACAGGACAAAAGCAGACAGAACAGTGTCCACTTAGGACAGGGTTCTCAAACTATGGGTTGTGACCCCCTGGGGGGTCGCAAGCAACTTAAAAGGGGGTCGCAAACTTCCAAGAGGATACGCGTGGCAGCATGGAGTGGTGGATGGTGGTAGTGGCTGCCACGTGTGAGCTCCCCATCCCCTGCCACAGCCATCCAGCACTCGGGGTCACAGTATCACAAAGTTTGAGAACCTCTGACTTTGGACTTTTTCGAGTTAAAAATCAACAGGTCAGCTGGTAATGTCCCTCCTTGGAAAATGCTGTTAAGAAGAGCTTGAACTCATGAGAGAGGATTTTGTTTTGCTGATGAGCTGATAAACACTTTGGTTTTATCAGCCTCCTGCTGGTTTGCAGCCTTGTCAGGTTGGCAGACACAAAGATTGAAAAGCTCAGTACCATCAACAGATGTATGTGCTGTACACTCCTTCTTTGCCTCGGAGTGCTAGCCCGGGGCTGGGGGCTGGCAACGCTCCGGACCCTTGAGCAGCAAGTGGGGGAAAAGCCAGAGACGGTGCAGGCCAGGGTAGGGGTTTAAACCCCTCATAATCAGAGCATCCTGCTGGGGCCTGGCCACACCCTGCCTCAGCTCTGCACTATAGAGGGAAAGGAAGGGCTGCTCTAGTGTCCCCCAGCATCTAGCCTGAGCCACTGCCTGCATGTGCCTGCATTTCTGGAATGAAAAGGGAATGTCTATCCACCTCCAAATCAGTTCAAGCTTTGCAGGTTAGATTAACCTGCAAAGACTGAATCAATTCAAGCTCAGGCTTTTTGAATGTCTGTCCCTAGCCCAGCAGATGCTAGGAATGGACTATCATTCGTTGCATTTGATGAAGTAGGTTGCTGTCTATGAAAGCACACACTTCTCTGAATTAGTCTAAGATGTCACCTTGCTCTATCAAGAAATACATTCTACGTTATACTTCATTTTCATAGATGCAATTTAATATCCAACTCTAGCTAAAGATTTGCTTTCCATGGCCTGTCTGTTACAGCACAGAAAGAGTACCAAATAGCATCCAAAATAAATTGGTCTTTGTTCAAAATGCTCCAGTTCAGTCCAATAATGCAAAATCATGTTTTTTGTTTTAAGAAAGCTCTCTAACTATATGCATTAAATATGTTAAAAAGAAGCTGTACAATATAATACACAATATATATATTTTACAGAATATTTGGGGTAAAATAATTAAAACTTTTTACAATCAGGCCTAGAATTGAAGTAGCTTTGCAATCATTATACACAGATGTATCAAACTGTGTATAATGATTGCAAAGAGTATAAATAACATCAAGTGCCAAATTACAAGCAATTGGGGTATCTTATTATAATAAGCATCTCTTGGTCTCTGAACTAGTAATTTATTTCATTTCAAATCAAATCATCTTTGGGGAACCAAGCTCAAATTTAAGGGATTACCGATTAATAGTTGTCATTCTAGTCCCAACTCTTAATTAAGTTACAATCCTGATTACCCATATTTATTTTTGACATACAGCTTCAAAAGAAAGTCCCTCCTCAGATCAGATCAATCCCTTGCAGACTCTTTCCTCTCATGAGGCTTCATTATTCCTTTTTCCACAAGTTTATTTTTTGTACTTTAAATTTATATTCAGGTTAACATTTTTATATTTAACATGCTTTACTTCTAAATTTAGGATTGGCTATACCAGAGGAGATTGCTAGTCTATGAGTCTGGTATCCTGTCCCTAGATGGGGACAAATTTACCATTAAAATAAAAACATTTTCAGACAAAAAATACAAGTTACATGAAAGGAATCTGTATATACAGTTAAACTGTACCTGACAGTGGTGTCTTTCTTATCTGAAAAGCAATTGGAGAAAAAGTAGGAGAAGCAGCATTTGCAGGGGACTTCTCTGGAAATGTGGGACTGGTTATGCTCCCCAGACTATATGCTCTTGTGCCTCCCTGGATAGGACTTGAGGAAAACTGACCCTTTAAAACAAAGAATAAGCATAGCATAACTTTAGATTAACATACAGATGAAAAAACCCTCTCTGAATCTGAAATACATGGCACTACTGAGGAAATTTCTATCCCTGCTACACTGACACTCGTACTCTTGAACAGAGTTGTTTGAATATTCCCACTGGAACATTCTCATTGGATTTTATGATACCTTGTAGAAAAGTGCAATGCTTTCCTAGTAAAACTTCATATAGAACCAATTAACACTATATTTTCAATCAATCAGAGATGACTACCAATAACTATAACGTTCACAATCAACAAATAAATGAAAATGTTTCTTCTCCCAGTGTAAAAGCATTTACTGTATGCAATGGTAGACCAAATAGCCTATCCACTGACACTGATTTTTTTGTTCGTATATTTTTTGTTCAAGTATATATATATATAAAAATATCAAGTATATATATATAAAATCTGAAAAACTGAATTCATAAGCCAGCCAAAAGAAATCCTTCCCCTGGAAGGGGCAGTAGAAGAAGTGTTTTCTTCTAAGGCCAGGTTTCCACCAAGAGTACTTTTGCCAGCATAGCTCTACAATCATATTTTATTGGCAGGGGTCCTAATTGTAAATACATTTTATACTAGCTAATCTACACTTCTGCCAAAACGGTTTCTCCTCCACCACCCCCATCTTCAAACTATGCTATACCAAGTGAAAAATAATTTTCCTGGTGTGACTTCTCTTGTGACACAGCTCTGTCAGTCAAATCACACCTTCCCACCAAGAATACATCAGGAAACATCTGTAGTGTAAGCTTGGATTCAGTGTCAAGCTATATTTGGACATTTCAAAATAGAGATGGACTGCTTCATTGGGAGCAAAGGAAAATGGCAAACACTTGCCATTATTTCCATAATTATGATCTTATATGCAATAGTTTTTCACATGCAGTCATCTAGTACAGTATGAACCTTGCCAGCTCATTTACAGTGAGCTCATGTTGGACTTTCAAGATGTATTGTGTTCTGCATTTTCCAGCTCTGAAAAGATCACATCTAGATACATGACACTAAGCATGGCAGTTTTGTTGCTCAACACTGTCCTTTCAAGTGTTTTCTTTACCCTAAAGGGAAAAAGTAAGGTTGATACAGAACTCAAGTCCTGAACTATTTCATATGTGACTAACTTTTTCATGGAACTCCAGTCCCTGGATAATTAGGTTTATGACAAACACATGTCAAAACCTGGTTGAGAAGTAATTTTTATTAGATTATTACACCTTTTGTTGACTCTCAGAGAATTAACACCTGTTACAGAGTCAGCTACTTATTCTTTCAATTCAAGATTTTAAAAAAGCTTCTTATCTCCATCTGAGACTTCATATTTCTCTGAAAATCCAGGGAAGATATTTTATATTCTCAAGATTTCCAAAAAGTGGGGGATTTTTTTTCTTTCCATACAGCAGCAGTTTTGACATACCAGATCATTTGGACCCTTCCAGAAAACAAATTTCCTGCTTTGCAGATTTGCTTTAAGTGAAAGCATCAGATTAGCTGTTTGCACTAAAGGACATTTTAAATACTAAACAGTCCTTGGATTCACATTTTTATTAAGCAATCTTCATGAATTTATGAAAAAAAGACAGTGTTAATATATTCTCAACAGTTAAAATACTTTTTGGATAGGGTATTCTGAACTAAATGATCCCATATCCATCACAAGATGCATGCACATAGAGTAAAATCACTTGCACACTTGCTCTTCAATATTGCTCAGATATAATCACTTCTGCACAAAGAAGGATAGCTGCTTCACAATAAACGCCAGATATACAACAGTTTCATAGGTAGTGAAACAAATGCATAACACCGAAATTTGAAAATTAAGATTTAGTTAGGCAGAATATCTATACCAAAGTGGAATTTGACTAGGACACTTTGAGTTAACACTCATATCTTAGTCCAAAAATTGTAATCCAGCCTGTGAAATGTTATGAAGCACATATACTTCACTCACTTTACTTATATCAGCTAAATCAGTATGTACACAAAGAAAACGAACAAACTTCTTACTGAGCTAGATGTTTCTAGAGGGCTTCTGCACCGGACTGGAGATATATCTATTGAACAGAGCACTCCAAGGGATGGTGGCCGATTATTACATGGACTTTGCAAAGAAGGGGATAAACACTCAGATACACTTCCATTCTCCTCTAAAAATAATTTTCTTCTAAGTGATGAGGAACTAAGGTTTTCCTGAGACTGATCTGCAAATTCTTCAGTCTTAAAATAGTCACCTAAAGATTAAAAAAAAAAAAAAGTTTAATCAAGCCACCCAATTTCACCTGTCTTCAGAAAAAGAATGGAAAAAAGAGGCTGGGACCCAAAAACAACCAACTTTAAAAAAAAAAAACTGAAACTGTCAAAATATTGAAGACAGACAAGCAATGTAATAAAAACAAGTAAACTCCTCCCCTATAGTCAAAGTTTTATGAAAATGTTATAACATTATTTTTCCTGTCTACAGAGGTCGAGCCAAAGAGATTAATTCAGTTCAGCCACAAGTGTTAAGCTGTTTAGGCTTTGAGAACAACTGCCACTTTGAAACACCAAGATTTAGAGAACTCCGGTGTTCCAACTCATTCCAAGCAATCTCTTATTCCTCTTTCCTAGCTACCTCTCCCAAACTATGACAAAGTATTTAAGGTTATTGCACATTCTGGACACTTCAAAGATGAACAGGCAGAAAGCAGCCAACAAAAAGCATGCAACTCCTCCAAAGGGAAGGATGAAAAATATCTGAGTAATGAAATAGTAATTTAGGATGTAGCCAGTATTGCAAAGCAGAGAGCAAGTTAGATAAAGTTCAAGAGCCATATTCTTAAACTACATCAGGAACAGAAAACGGTCTCAAACTGGAGAGCTCCTGTTCTCCCCTAAAAAGGGAGAGGAGAATAAATAAATCCACCCACTGAAGAGCAGAGACCATCTTAATTTAGGGCAGCCAGTTAACAAGTAATAGCTGGAATCTCCTGAACTTCCATCATTTAGGAGGCAGAGAGTAAGCAATGTGCATGTGTGGTCCCCAAAGGACACTTCTGGTAAAAACAAAAACAAAAACCCTAACTCCTATAAAGTGGATGCATGAACTGCGATTTGCATGGCAAGAACATTTAAAGTACAAGTTACTGTAAAAGTAACTAACCTCTCTACTGAGGAATAGAAACAATATTTCTGTTACTGTAAGCATATAATTTGTAACCCTTTCACCACCTTGCCTCCACCTGGCTGAATTACGGTCAGTTTAGATGAAAGATGCCACAAGACAAACCAAAGAAATGTTATCTCCCCTAAAATATCTATACTCTGTATAACTGCTGAAGAGTAATTTACACACCAGCTTTCCAATAGACTATTCCTCTATTTCTAAACATCAAGCAAGAGATTTTCATTTTACACATTCATTGTTAAAAATCAGTATGTGACATACCTAATATTTTTTCTAAGTTAAAGTCCACAGGCAAAGACAATACTGTTTGACAAGCAGCTGCAGGGAACAAAAACAGAATCAGCTGAGAGAATATTAAATCATTTATCTTGGTAAATTGCTTACAGTTGAAAATTACTTAAAAGTTAGAGTGAAAGTGTTGCATAAGTTAAGATAAACAATCAGCATGAGCTCCCTGAACTAGCAATACTAAATACTGGAAAAAGCACATTCAGACCCAAAGGTAGGTGAGGACGTTACCATGTTCTAGCCTTCCCTATTTGGAAGTGAAGACTTTGAGAAAAAGGAGTTAAAGACAAAAGGAAAATGGAAAGAGATCTACGGAAGGTCTCAGGGGGATTTCATGCAAAAATGGATGAAACACTTTAAAATGTTCCCCTTATATATCTTTCCAGAAAGGAAGAGAAAAAAAAGAATTCTTCAGTCTCATTTGATATGATCCAAGCACATTACTCTGCAAACAAATAACTTTGATGGAAAATTGAACCAAGTTTAAAAACTGTTCAACTATACTCAAAGCATTTCCATAAACAATGCTACAGAAAGATTCTGTAGCTTAATACAAGGCTCTTAGCCTAGTAGACTTCTTCCCTTCTAAAAAAAGGTAGCAAAAAACCTTTTTACACAATACAAGTTAGTTTGCAATTTGAGTTTCAAAGAACAAGCAAGCATACTCCAACATGCTTACTCCTATAGCAAAAGTAACGTAAGTATCTTACTGTATCAATATCAAATACTTTTTTTAAGAAAAAAAAAAAAAGAGTAGAGTTAACATTAAAAAAAAAAAAAAAAGCTTATTTATGATCATCTGTTCATTTTTCATTTTATACCAACCATTGTTTTTTCCAGATTGCACAGTTAACTGTCTTCCGATTGGTGAAATGTTGCTTAGATCTATACCTGGAAAATAACATTGCAAAAGTAACAAACAAATGAGAAATCAGTTTCAGCTTAAGGTCAAACTTTTTACAATTCTTAAACATAATAGCAGTATTGTAAAAATACAGTGGGCAACTGTATTGAGGAATTTCTCAAAAATGCTTCATGTATTTACAAAGTTTTTGGTTGTAGCCTTGTTGGTCTTAAGGACATAGGCAGGCAAGGTTCTTTGAGTAGATGTGATATATTTTATTAGAACAGGGGCAGGCACTTATTACGGGGCAGAGGGCCGCTTACCCAGTTTTGGCAGGCTATCAACGGCTGCATGGGTAGACCCGCCCCTTGACAGCTGCCCCGCCCCCTGGTTACCATCTTGGGACCAATGTCCCAGGGCCAGCACCAGTGGGGCCCAAAGCAGGGCACAGGCTGGCAGGGGTCTGTGGAGCTGGGCTGAGCTGCACCAGCAGGGAGAGGGGGAAGCTGGCTTGGCTCCTCAGAGTCCCTGCCAGCTGGGACCAGTATACTGGTCTTGCCACCGGAATACCAGTATAGGCCACTGGCTCCTGCGCCCACTCATACCCAGTGCCCCCCAGCCCCGCGATATAGACGGGGGACAGCGCACAGCCCTGACCCCCTGCTCGTCGACAGGGAAGAAAGTAGTGCTGAGTGCGAGGGAAAAGCGGCCCCTCGCCCACCCCATGGCCGGCGCTCCCTGCTGCAGGCGCTCACAGCCCACTCAGGGCTGTCTGGAGCAGGCACAGGCAGACCCACATGCGCTGCAAGCTGCTACAGTGTGGGGTGCCAGCCATGGGGCGAGCGAGGGGCCGCTTTTCCCAGCGCTCAGCATCAGCTTGTAACCCGGCCCTGCTGTCAGCCTGGGCTCCAAGCTGGCTCTGGGCTCGCCCATCAGCAGCAGCAGCTGTGGCCCCCCTGCTTGCCGCACCAGGCAGTGTTGGCTGCTCCTGCCCGCCCGGAGCTCTCACACTGAGCAGCCCAGAGGCAACAGTGCCAAACACTGCCCGGCACTGCAAGCGGGGGGGGCCACAGCTGCTGTTGCCATGCGCAGCCCCGATGGGCGAGGGCAGAGCGAGGGTGAGGCCCAGGCTGGCAGTGGGGCCGGGTTACAGGGTGGTGCTGAGCGCCGGGGGGGGGGCACAGCCCCTTGCTGGCCCCATGCTGCAGCCGCTCGCAGTCCACATGCCTGTGCCTGCTCCAAACAGCCTAGTGTGGGCTGCAAGCAGCTGCAGCGTGGGGCACCAGCGGGGCCGTTTTCCTCCGCGCCAGGAAGGAGCCCGGGGAAAAGCTGGGCGCAGGGGGCAGTGGGAAAGTGGGACCCCTGCCCACCCCATGACCAGTGCTCCGTGCTGCAGCTGCTTGCAGCCCGTGGGGCTGTTCGGAGCAGGCACAGGCAGCCCCATGCGGGCTGCAAGTGGCTGCAGCACAGGGCACCAACCACGGGGCGGATGAGGGGCCACTTTCCCTCCATCCATACTCAGGTTTTCCCCAGGCCACTTTTTCCCAGGCTCCTTCCCTGCCCTTCCTGCCCCCTCACCTGAGGTTCCAGTGCTGGGGCAGCCATGTGTTTCCAGGCCAGAAGCCCCTACCGGGGCTTCCGGCTGGGAGGGTGGGGCCAGGCGGGCCCTGCGGTTGTGGGAGCCTGCTGGGCTTCCCCTGGGTCCTACTGCCCTTGGTTCCTGTCATTTTTGACAGGAAGCAAGGGCAAAGAAATATTAATTTTCTAAATTTGTTAGGGGCCCCGCACGCCGTATTTTGCCCACTCCTATATTAGACCAACTGAATAGTTGGAAAAAAAGTAGGCTCAGTCACCCTTCATCAGGCATACAGTCTCTCTCTGCTGGCCTGAGACTCCAAAGAATTTATGTATTTACTGTCACAAACCATAACTACTGGTACTTAACTATTTGTGAGTATAAATTAGGGGTGCACTGATAGAGATTTTGGGAGCCAATACCAACAGCCGATTTTTAAGGAGGCTTATCAGCCAATACCAATCCAATTTCCAATACAGCATGGAGACCTGTAGGCAGCTAGTAAGTCTGTTGTAGTGGAAGGGGAGCGGGGAGGGAAGAGGCATGGGGAGGGGGGCGATCAAGGCCCCTGCGGTAAGGGAGCGACTGGGGCTAGGGCAAGTGCCCCACCCTGGCCCAGCTGGGAAGCACAGGACGGAGCCATGACTTGTCCAGGGGGTGCGGCTTCTGCTGCTGTGCACAACCTGGGAGGGCATGGGGAGTGGGGGGCACATGCTCCTAGATCTGCACAGGGCATGGGCAGGGTAGGCTGCAGCTACGGGTTGGCACTGCACCAGGTTATGCTCAGGGCGGGCGGTGACAGCTCCCGCAAAATTGGCCGCAGCCTCCCTCCCACCCCATGCAGATCTGGTGGCACATGCTGCCCTCCCCCCACCCCGCCCCGTGCCCTCCTGGGGTCCATGGAGCAGCAGGAGATACCGCCCCCACGCCAGCCAGAGCTCCTTCCCATGTCCCACCCCAACTGGACAGCCTTGCCCCAGCCCTGGCCTCACTCCTCCCCCCCTCATCACAGGGGCCTTGATCTGCGCCCCCCGCACTCTCCTTCCCTCCCCTTCCACCACGCCAGATTTACCAGCTGCATGCAGCTCTCCACGCTGCTGGGCTCCACTGCAGCTGCACACATGCAATTGGTGACGGACAGGGGGGACAAGGCTGAACTCCTCAACGAGTTCTTTGCCTCAGTGTTCCCAAGAGAGGGGCATGACAAGTCTCTCACTGGGGTTGTAGAGAGGCAGCAGCAAGGCGCCAGACTACCATGCGTAGACCCTGAGATGGTGCAGAGTCTCTTGGAAGAACTGCATGCCTTTAAGTCGGCAGGCCCGGATGAGCTCCATCCGAGGGTACTGAAGGCACTGGCCGACATCATTGCACAGGCACTGGCGA